CCCTTTATTATGGCAGCAGCAGTTAACTCTTTTTCTTAGTAAAATGAACTAAAATAGTTATTATTATAAAGTTACCAATGAAATTAGTTTTATCAACCCATGTAAAAATTTAGTAATCAAAAGAAAAAGTTTAAGAACTACTTTTGCAAGTAAATACAAATTGTTGTTTGCAGATTGTAAGGATAGGATTGTTGCAGTAGATCTGGAACACTGTCTTGCCTTTCCATTTGAGATAACATTAACCACTTAGTGCTCTGATCTTGTTAAATCAAAAAAAAAATTGTCATTGAATGGGTAGTTCCTTTTGAATAAAATATAAATTGGAAAAATATGAAGACGACTAAGATCTTATGCATAAGAAATAGCAAGATGATCAACATATTTCCTATTGAAATCTGATGCTGATGCTTTATTTCCAACTTGATGTCAGGAAGCCTAAGTAAACATGGATTGACACCAAAAGAAAAGAGGAAATATATGAAGAAGCTCCAAAATTGGGCAAAAGCTGCATCTGTATGTATATGGTATTTCTACACTAAAAGAAATCAGTGGTGATATTATGAAGTACTACTTGGGCATCCTGTTTGATGATAATGATGCTTCTTCAAACCATGTCTGACCCCAAGCTCATCAGCTGATGCAGGCTTTGTTGGAGGCACCACTTTCATTTTCACAGTAGTAGTTTTTAAAGAATTAATGGATCTTAATTTATAATTTGACCTATTTTTATTACTTTAAGTGTTATTTTTAGTGAATACACATATTTGAGTAGATGCTCAATTTATTTTAAACAGTATTTTATCTTATCTACCAGCCTGAACATTTGAGAAGATTTCTTAAAGAAAATGAAGGATGCATTTTCTTTAATGGATTTTCTTGAATGTTCAGGTGAAATATAATACTGTTTAAAATAAACAAAGCGTCTACTACTCAAATACAAGGAATACCACTCAAAATATCATTTGAAGTAATAAAAACACCAGTAGTTGTATGAATTTTTTTAAATTAATAGAATGAAATTAAGCTTGAAACTTTAGTTTTGACTTCCTTCCTGAAGTTTATTTATTTATTTTAAAAAATGTACCTGCTCATGCCTCTTTCTGAGAGAGGCAAAAAGAAATCTGTATCTGATAGCATCAACCTTTGAGTGTCCTGGAATTTGATGGGTATATATCCATTTCCTTAAGAATGTTACCAAGTCAGCAAGTCAAAGGAAATACATCAGCCTTTCACTTAAGGATGGGGCCCACTTGGTTCCTTTAGTTCCTGCTTTGGAGAGCCACTTGCCTTTCCACCCACCAGACAATTTGACCCTATTTTTTCGCCTAAGCTCATGACCATCTTAAAGCTAGCTCCACCCATCAGCAGCTACCAATAGGTTTGGTAGAGTATGCGTGAATTTTGGAACCCAAATGGATATTTCCTTTCTAACTTTGTATAACTGGAGAGTTATCCTTACTTGCAGATAGGACAGAAGAAATCTCAACAACTTAAGAGTGTTTCTTTCTTTCTTTCTTTCTTTAAATATATTCTTTTGTATTTTTATTTCTAACTTTCAATTTCCCAATATTTGACATTTTTATTGTTCCATCTCACTCAATAACAGTTGATTTGTTTATTTTTAACAAAATCTTTCCATTTGGCTTTTACATATTTATTTTCATTCTTTGTGTTAATGTGCTATGTCCTTTCATGATGTGGGTAATCACAGCTTTTTACAACTTCCTATCCTTTATAGCTCTTAGTAATATTTGTCTTTTTACTATACCTCCTACTCCTTGTTCTGTCATCCATTTACAAAAGCCTGTTAAGTAGATTACTTGTCATTTCTCTATCCCTTTTGTGAGTATCAAATTCTCTGAACCCTCTTTCCTCATGTGTCTCTTTCTGATTCTAAATATAAGTCTCCTTTTTGTTTCCATTTTCATTAAAACCTCATTGCTCACATGCTCCATCCATGGCGTTTTCTTTATTTGTTGTTAATTGGTAGAATATATACAGTGTAATTTTTTTCTTAATTTTTTATCAAGTTTCAATATTCACTAAGAATTTTCACCAGAAATTATTAAAAAAAAAAAAAATACATCGAATCCTTTTTTGAGAGTTTCATATCCTTGGATTTGTGTTGATGTCATTACTGCTTCCACCACCATTCAATAAAAAGGGTAACAATGCCAAATCATCCCCTTAGAGATTTTAGGCATTTTCAAGAGAAGTTATTTCTTTCTTCTTTCAGCTTCCTGGTCCTTTCTTTTTAAGAATGCTGATGAAACTTGTACAGGCTTTGAAGATGCTGTTATAAAGTGTTAAGTCGACCAGGTGATCTAGATATTGCCTGACTGAGTCTATAGGGGGATAGGTAGGTAGGTAAGTAGGTAGTGTGTTTTATCACTGTCCTATTTTATGGCCATCTCCTGGTCTAACAGGCCACAGGTCATGTAGGAAAAGGGTACAGACAGCTGTTCATATTTGACAAGCATGGAAAGACCTGTTAAATCACTGCACTGTATGACAGTTTGTAATCACTCAGTCAATTCTTTTCCGATACCTTTAGTTTAGTTACAACACATTTGTTTCTTAGGCACCTCCATAACATTAATCATTTCATTATTTTGCAGACCTCAAATCTATTGAAGGGTAAAGTAATTAAACATGAATCTGACTGAAGCAAAATTTTTTTTTTTTTCACAATTCTAAATAATGTTTTCATTCTTGGTTTCATATTTTATTTGTCTCCCTAATATAAAATCCACATAGACATTTTAAACTCAGAACCTGAAAACATTTCATTTAATTTGCATTTAGCAATACAAATATGATTTATGTTTTAAAAGTGGGGAAAAATACTTGTGTGTTAAGTTTTCAAGTAAATTAGTTGTAATTTGTTGAAGTAAATAAATTTGGAGATGGAGATCCTTTTAGGAATTATTTATGCAAATATGAGTATCTAATTAAAAAAAAGTTGCTCTTCAAAGAATTGAAGGACATAGTAAAAAACAAAAAACACCATATTTAATACTTAAGTTAATTGAGATAGCATTTTTATAATTCTGAACTTTTTAATTTCAATCATTTTTTAAAGTGATTTGTATCAGTTAATTTATTTGATTTTTCAGGAAAAAATTGATAAAGAGATAATTAAAATGCACTACTTTACACTGCTTTATTAAAAAACATTAAAATGAATAATTTAGATTCTAGAAAAATGAGATTGATGTCTGATATTTTAAGTTATTTCTTCAGCTTTAATGCCACACCTTTCATATTACTACCTTTTTAAAGGGCAAACGCCTATTTAACAAAGATTTAAACAATGGCAAATGAGTGAAACTTATAGACGAAAAGAAAGCTCTTGATGCTGCCAAAGTTTTCAACTAGATTTGTTACTTGAAAGGAACTCCTATATTTAGTCAACTCAATTACCTTTAGTGTTCTTAAATTACATCATGCCATAATTAAGAATTACATTCTATTGCATTGATTTTTTTTTTTTAGTATGTATGCTATTTCTTGGTATTAGGAAGAATAACTTATTAAAAAGATGAGAAAAAAAATTTCATTTTAAATTTTGTTCTATTCCACACAAAGAAAACTTCCTTGTAGTTATTTTATTGACACATGTCAACTCTTTGATTTTGAAACTTTGATTAAACAACTTTGATTCAAAAAGTGAATTAATTCCAGTCTGCTCTTTTTGCAAAAAAAAAGAGAAAAAGAGTGGAGTAGGGGAGACAAGGACAAAATTATTTGGAACATATTGACACAATTCTTTGAAGAGAAGTAGTAGTGGTTCTTTGCTAAGTAAAAGCTTTTATGATTTAGCCAAGATATAATGGCAGAGATGAATAGTAGTACTAGTAGTAATGGAAGTAGATTAGGTAACAGATAGGTCCCTTGAGAAATATGCAATACATGCACTTTACCATGTTTCAGTTGATATATAGCAGCAGTAGCAATACATCTCGGCCCCTGACCCCTCTCTCAGGCTAACAGTACTTGCGTGGGTGGGGGTTGGGTAAAAAGAAGGGGCTGTATTGTGCTAAGAAGCTCATTTCCTTCCATTGAAAAAAAATAAATAATAAAATTTACAAAAAAAAAAAATGTCTAGCTGAATAGAAATAATTTCCCTGTAGACAATGAAGACATTGGCTGAGTTGCTTACTAAGAAATTAAAAAAAAAAATGTATTTTTTGTTTGTCCCCCACACCAAGAAAAAAAGGTGGATGGCACAAATTTCAAATAATTAAGCAGACCTCTTTAAAAACAATCAAGTAATAAAACGAAAAAAAATTATATAAAATTTAAAAAACAATCTTATGAACAGTCATTTATTATGTCATAAGTAATTGACAACAAAATTATAAAAATGTTTAGTTTATATTGTAAAACTTGATCAAGAGTTGATTAAAATTGCCAATTTTCCCAGAGAAGGAAAAGAGGCTCCTAGCTATGTAATAATATCGTAGTTGCGAGTTGATGACGCCCAGTTTCTTGAGGCGGCTGTAAATGGTATTCTCTTGAGGAACTATAGGGGTGGGGGGGGGAACTGTTGCTGCTTCCTCGACGTTAGCTTATGACGTAAACAATGAATGCTCCCTTGATGAAAATCGTACAACGTATTCTGTTACTTTATGATTCATTTCTTAAAAATGAAACTTTTTATATAAATATATATTATTTGTAAATAAATAATACTCTCGATATACAATAACAATTCCTGGGGTTAATTGAATAAAAAACTGAACAGTTTTTTTACTTTTTCAAAACTTTTCTATTAAGGGGGCGGGCTTTGAGCGAGTGATATAAATGAAAATTGAAAATGCATTACAATTTTTTGAAAAATAAGAAAATAAAAATAAATAAAAACAAAAAAAAACGCACGGCAAAGAAAATGACGTTAAATTATCAATAGCAGAATGATTGTAAGCAAATTAAAGAAGAGAACAGTTAAACTAAGGAAGGTAAACTTTGTCAAATATTTTTAAAGAAGTTGTACTTACTGCATTTGCGACGCTGTTAGTTATATACAGGAAGATTAAAATCAACCTAAAACAAATAAAAAGTACTTGATAGAAAATAAAACTCAGTAAGTTTATTTTTTGATCATTTTTTACAAAATAATTACGAACAAATTAAAAAAAAAATAACGAAAGATCTGATTAAGTAAACTTTTTCACCAGTAGTTTAATTAAAAAAAAGTTTTTGGTTTTAACTTTTAACGTTGAAAACTTTCAGAAAAAAAAAAAAAAAAAAAAACAGAATAGTAAACTTACCACGTTAACACTTGGAAATTTTTTGATTGCATTTGCCTGCAATATTTTAAAGTTTTTTCGGCTCGGCGGTGCCGCGATTTCATCCTCTCAGTCATTTTTTCGGCAATCGTCGTCTCTCTTTGTAAAGAAGGAAATTCACTCATCATGGTAAAATACTTTTATGTGTTCGGTTAAAAAAATCACCTCACACGAAATATACATCAGCCCGATGTCCACACGGGCTGGCTGCTTAGAAAATTGTAGCTATGAGACTTTTAAATGGACAAAATTCACAATTGAATTCGATGTAACTAGCTACAAGCAGCCATGGAGTCAAGAAACTCCACGCTAGTCTCTACTACAATCTTTCGCACTGAATTGGTTGGTTTCTAACCGCTCACATTGATGCATCTTGTGGGAGGAGCTACGATGAGGATAATAACAATGTTGGGGTTGGGAGAATTAAAAACTCCCCCATTATAACTTAAAAAAATCTAATCGTCAAATCAAGTGAAAATATATCTTTAAAATTATGTTGATAATTACAGCAGCGTAAACTAAATTAGATATCTTATTCGAATTTTTCTAACTCCTTAGTCAATTTATAAGCGAGAAAGAGAGAAAAAATTCATGCAATATCGCAAAAAGAAAAAGAAAAGTAAATTGGTTGTTTAAATTGTTTTTTTTTTTTGTTTTATAGAATAAAATAAAAGTTTATAGTTTTCAGTTCGTGTTATAGTTCTTTTTCTCGATATCTTTCTTTTGCAAAAACAAAATAAATAAATAAATAGTTGAAAAACTCCATGAAAACGAATTGTGTGGGCGGTGACAATGTCAATGTTGTCAACTTGTTTACACTTTATTTTTTAATTTCTGTTTTCCCGATCATTTTCAAACATTTGATCTAACTATATAGAAATGAAATCATTTACTTTTTAAAATAACATTTAAATGCATTTTTAAATGTTTGAAAAATACACTAGTCAAAAAAAAAAAAAAAAAAGTTTTTTTTTAAAGTGATTGTTTAATGTTTCACTATGCCGGGAGTTTCTTGGTAAAAAGGGCGGAGCTTGGAATGAGTCGTAATTGATCGACGACTCGGGAAGTGGTCGGTGCGTGTTGCTACCATGTGTGAAGCGCTCTCTTGCTGCAAGATGGAGGTGTGTAACTAAGTGAAAAGACTGCGTTTTGGCAAAAGAAACAATCTAAAGTTTTTGGGCCAAAGTTTAGCCTTTCTGGATAATGTTGAATGTCGGCAAACAACATCGGATAAAACACTGAACATTTTAGAACTTTTTTAAATAATGGCTGAAAAGGCAATTTTCAATTTTCTTATTGCCTTTTGCCTCGTGTTAAGTTTATTAACGTTGGGACAACACACAGCTGAAGCGAGGGTATGTTGTTCACTTTTCTATCTTGTTATTCTGTGCCATCATTTATGCTTAATTTCTTTCTCGGTATCAATTTCTCATTATTTCATTAATCTAGATTTGTATTTCTTTTTTTATGGGTTTCTGTTGAAAATTGGTAAAAAAAAAATTCAACCTTAAAAGTTTTAAACAACTTTAAAAAGTTTAAATTGAGTTTTTCATTTTAAACAATAACGTAACTACGGTTCATCATTTTTCAATCATTAAGTCCTGATTTGTTGTATAATGTTTAAGTACAAAATACTTTTAAAGATGCTTTACAATCTGAATCAAATAACACATAAAAAGAAAAGATGAGCGAGTGAAGATTTTAAAATAAATGAATTAATGAATGTCAATGAACAAAGCGAAAGAAAAACGAACTGTAACATTAAGTTCTTTTTACTCGATATTTTGTTTCTTTATGATATTAATTTTTAAAAACTTTATTATAGCAAAAATATTGCATTTCTTTATTTAATGTGGACGAAAAATAGCAATATTATTGGTGAACTCTGACCTTGTATTTTTTGTCGTCTGCATTCAAAACGAAACTTTTTAAAACACTTTTTTAGCGTACACATTTTAATTATATATATATATATATATATATATATATATATATATGTGTGTGTGTGTTTTTGCTATAAATTTACCAAGTGTGTCACTTAGCTGTACCTGTTTCAATAAAATAACTTTCCATTTTTGTTTCTCCATTCTGTTACTGAGAAAGGCAGAGGGTGACCTAGGGAGAAATCATTATTTCTTGAAATTCCATCTGACTTTTTTGCACTCTTATAGATTTTCAAGAATTTTCTGTTACTGATTAAAATTAAATAATACAATTATTATTTACAATTAAGAATATAATTCGTAACAAAAAAACAAGTAACTTGATTTTTAAAAGATCATTTGGCTCTTAATTGGAAAAATGATTTTTTTTGTTGAATTATCAATTTTCATTGTTATTTTTTTAAAATTTTTTTTTAAGTGTTTATAAAATATTATATTTGATTATTTTAAGAATGTAATATATGCTTGAAATTAAATGCTTGCCCAGGTGATTAAAGGGTAGGAATGTTGATGTGTAAACATTTTGAATTTCTTTTTTTTATCATTAGTATCCTATTTATTTTTTCATTCAAAACTATTTGTGCCCCACCCCTGCACCCCTGTTTTTTTTTTAAAAAATTTTAAGGATGCATTTATTAATTGGCTTCGATTTTTTTTAATATATTAAATAACTGTACCACTCGGTTTATCTTTACTTTATCATTCTTCTTTTTTTATTGTATGAAATTATTAGGAATTTTCCTGATTGTTGTTACCTACAATAATTTGTACAATTATCTCAATTCAAAGATTAACAAATAGGTAAACTTGATAACCAGTACTTTTTTAAATTTTTTTTTTTTTTTTGTTATAAAAAATAGCTTGTTTCCCCTACTCTGATGAAAAATGGTTACAAGAGTACTTTAGCTTTATCTGTAGTAGATGCAAAGTAAAGTGTCATTTCATTCATAGTCTTCTATTTAACTGCTTTATGTATTCTATTTGTAAGATTTTTTATAAACTTTCACTTTTATTATGGAATATTTTAATATTTATTTCTTGATTTATTTTCCTTAGTTGCTTTGAGAAAATTGTGAAATAATTTTTTACAGATTCCCTTTTTATTTAATTTGTTCCTCACTTATTTTTATATGAGATATTCAAGATGAGATATTTTCAGCATCGAAGTAGTCCCTCAAGAAAAAATGCCTTCTGAGTCATTTTCTTAGATTTTGGGAGATGGGCTGGGTCAAGAATTTTTCATCACTCTTATATTTTAACTTTAAATTTTTACAAAATCTGACACTTACTAAATATATCTTTAGAAAGAATATTTAAGATAATTTATCTAAGATAATAAAGTTAAAAATGAGTTATTTTGTAATGTTTTCCAATACATTCTATATAAACAAAGTAATACCTTGTGGCAATCCATTTAAGAATATCAATATCTATTAAGCATTTTTCAAAAATAAGTTATTTTAAAACTTATTTGTATATAAAAACATATCCCTTAATTAGGGAAAACAAGGACAATATTGAATATTGTTACTTTTTTGTATTTAATTTAAATACATTTTTTATTCATTTAATAAAATGAATGTATAGTATTGCTATATAAATAGCATTATTATTAATTATTGTTAGTGACATTATTTTTTGTAATGCATGAAATCAGATATTGCTGTATTGTTCTTGGAAAGACTAGCCAACATTAAATTGTAAACTTTTGCAAGCATCCCATTGGCTGTAAAATTATTCCAGAAAGGTTACCATCTTTGGGATGGCTTGTGTTTAATGCCTATACAAAGCTACTCTGAATGGAATGTGGGTGTGGAAGTTAAGCTGTAACAGTCTTAGAGTTTAGAGAAAGGGGGCAGGATTCTTAGAAGCAAGTGATTCAGTAAGTTCCCAAGGGTGACTTTTTGTGGAGGTGGAGCAGTGGTTAGTTAAACAGTTCAGTAGTTGTGGAGGTGGAAGAACTTGTGTTTTAGCCACTTGGCACCAGCAGTGTGCACAATACCAAGTTTCATACTCATCATATTCTGTCAGGATCACAAAATGTTTTACTCTCATCATCTTTTTAAACTTTTTTCCTATTGATATTTGTCACTTTCTAAAGAAAACTTAATCATTAAAGTTTTGAACAAACTTGTAATATTGAGATTTCAAGTCAAAATATTACAAATTGTTTCTTTTTAAGGAAATGATAAGGATATCCTTATGATCACATTTCCTAAGAGGAACAGTTTTAAGGCTTAATTAATGTATATGTGTAAATAAAAAAGAAAATAAATAGTGGAAAATTTGCTAAAAGCCTTTCCAATGTTGCTTTACAACTGCAAGGGCAGAGTAATAACTGACTGGAATCAGTTAGAAAAATGATACAATTTTATTAATTTTATTTTCTGATTCTATCAGTTCAATGTGTATTTTTTAGAATTTCTAATGACTTCAGCTGTGATGTGAATTTGTGTTAGGTTTCTTTTGAATATCTTGTCTCTTAGAAAAGATGCAAGCATTCTGGTCTTCTTTCAAGGATTTTAAAAAATTAGAGAGGCCGTTGCAAGTTAACCAAAGTATCTTAGAGCTTGGCATTTGCAGTAGTGTAGATTTTGAGATAAAATCTTTATCTTTCTATTTCCTTTTCAGCTCTAAAAAATCATTGGCTCTGAAATTTTCATCAAAATTAAATGACTGTTATTTCTTTTTCTTCTCTTTTTCTGCCTGTTTTTTAAGCAAGCATTCAATGAAAACTGATTTGTTTTGTCTGTTGTTTCTGTGTGATTTTATTCTCCAATGATGTACATTTTATTGTTTAATATTCTCATGAGCTCTATTTGCAACTTGACAAAAATTGTTTTCCAACCCAAATCCTAATTATTTTCCAGTTATTAATTTTCATTCTTGTGTGAATTAGAGGCAAATTTTATTAAAATTTGGAATTTAACATTACATTCCCACTATTTATTGGTATTGTATTTTTCTGATCATTGTCTTTGTTACTGATTTAAAAATCAAAACCTTACATCTTTACAAAATTTTCTTGCATGTAATTTACTTATCACAAAAAAAACTGCATCATTGTTAAAACTCGCTCAAGTTGCGTGGTATTGAATGATATTTTGCTCTCCAAGATGAAAAAAAAATAGGTTAAGTTATGGGCACTTAATGTTTGATTGGGAGTTTGCAATCCTTCAATA